ATTCAACACAACACTACTAATCAAAAATAATATAATTTGTAATGTGATATAACTTATTTTCAGTAATTGTTTGTTGTGATTCTATTTGAGAAGGTTGCAACTCGTCACGTGAGGAGTTGAATTTTTCAAAAAAAACAGCTTTCGTAACGCTAAAAATAGGGATATACGAGAAAACAGGGATATCGTAACAAAATTTACAGGGCAATTGTAGCTGTTATTTACAGGGAGTTCGTAACAGTCGCAGAGTTTTCGCAACGAGCCAACAGGGATTTCGTAACAAAAATTAGGGGTATCGTGACGAAGTCACATATCAAACCACTGGTTACGATCACCCTGTAAAATTCGTTATGATAGCTCTGATTTTTTGTTACGAAAGCCCTGATTCTGTCGTTACGAAACCTCTGTTACGGGCTTTCGTACTGTCAATTCGCTGCGAAAGCCAGACAAGAAAAATCGTGACGAGTTGCAACTTTCCCTTCTATTTTATCTAACAAAAGAAATCTATAAAGGAATCGAGCTAACTAAAATCGGTTTCAAAAATCTTTTTTAGAGCGCAATCGAAAATCAAACATCCAACACTAACGTTGATATTATCAGACTCAACACAGGATAGATGCTGTCAAGTTGAACCGCTGGAAATTAATGCATCATTAATAGACAAAGATTTTTTTGTGCGTACACATCAAAAAATTTTTAAGTTTAAATAGGGAAAAAGCTTGTTTAATAAAAAACATTTTTTTTCTATATAATTTATATAGGTTGTTCTTATTAGGAACTTTTTTTCGCTGGTTGTTCTTATTGGGCACAGTGCTCCCAATAAGAACAGACGAGTTATTTTTAAAATTTTAATAACTCGGTTATTATAAATTGAAAAATCTGAACCGTGAGATTATAACTTCTTGATTGATAAGGATTATTTTTTGTTCCAGCAGTATTTCCAAATTTTGAAGTTCAGATTCAAAAAATTTTGTTTACTAAAAAAAGATTTTTTTTCTATATATTTTATATGGGATGTTCTTGTTAGGACCATTTTTTGGCTAGTTGTTCTTATTAGGAAAAGCGACCCTAATAAGAACAAATTCAATTACTCATCAAATACCGCTAATTATAGGTTTAATTTACAAAATAATAAAATAATTTTTGCATCATTCGATGCAGCAAACATTTCTGCACTCAGAAATGTAAAAAAAACTTCATAATTTTAAAAACTTCATCAGTACAGAAACAAATTACTGACACCTCTGAAAAGTTTGTTCTTATTAGGGACATCGACTGTAAGCATATAGATTGACTCAACTTCATATTGAATATGAAAATAAAGGAAGGAAAAAGAAATAGGTAAATATAATAAATCGAATAAACAAATAAATTGACTCAACTTCGTATTGAATATGAAAATGAAAGAAAGAAAAAGAAATAGGTGAATATGGTAAATCGAAATGTTTTTACATTCACCTCGACAAATAAAATCATGTGAAAAGAAAAATTCTGAACAGAATAGAAAAGTCCGCTGGAAGAAAGAAACATCCTCTTGTCCGTCATATACGTGCAATAGATTATTTCTCTGATTTAAATCTATTCATACGTACTCATATTCGCCTCGATAAATAAAATCATATGAAAAGAAAAGCCCTGAAGAGAATAGAAAAGTCTACTGAAATACAGAAACATCCTCTTGTCCATCATGTATATGCAATAAATTATTCCTTTGATTTGAATTTATTTCATCGTCTCTTATATTCATCTTGATAAAAAGATTCATGCGACAAGAAAAGTCCGCTGGAACATCCTCTTGTCCATCATATATATACAATAGATTATTTCTCTGATTTAAATCTATTCAAATGTTCTTATATTCACCTCGATAAATAAAATCATGTGAAAAGAAAAGTCCTGAAGAGAATAGAAAAGTCCGCTGGAATACAGAAATATCCGCTAGTGGAGTATTTATATTTTGCTCTTCCTATCACTACTGATATACGTGACATTTCATAAGGTACGTAAAGTCCCACATATTCATAGAGGACTTAAGGTAAAGTGGACATTTTTTGGACCTTTGACATTGCTGAAAAAATTCTCATGTAAATTACGATTTTCTTAATTGTTTGTTTATACATTATGGAAATTAATTTTTTTTTTTGATTAAATTAAATATTGATAATCAATAAATTGTAATTGCTCGGTTTTGTTTATTGTGAATAATAGACATTCTTCAAATATGTCTTATCTAACCTCAAACTATTCATCAAAAATTCTCAACTATTTTACTATGATATAACAACTAAAAACAATAGCAGTCATTCATTTACTAGGAATGAAGTAAAACGAGTTATAACGGACTTATAATAGCCACAATTCTATACATTTTTTCTCCTCAGACAAATGCTTGAGCATATTCAATACTAAAATATTTATCTCAATATTAATCAATATTTTTTTTCTTCAATTTAAAACATGAAAATAGATTCTTAGAAAATCTATATAATATTAATAAATAAAAACAAATTTGAAAACTCTAAAAAAATTAAATACAAATCGTTTTATACGAACGATTATTTCAATCCGAAAATTTTTCTTAATTAAAGATATTTAAAAAACAAACACTTGAAATACATGGTGTTTGGAAATTCATTGACCAAAAAGAAAATTGAATATCTTCATTACGGCTCAAGCAAACGAGCTGATATTTTTGTCAATGATAGAGGCATGTTCAAAGTTTATATCTATAAAGACATGCCTAGAGAGATCCTTTTTTATGTATCACTATTGACCTCAACAAAAGAATTTTACTTTTTCACAGATAGAGAAGAAAACAATATACTTAACAAAGGGTCTCTCTAGGCTTATCTTTATGAATATAAAGTTTGAACGTACCTCTATCATTGATAAAAAAACCAGCTCGTTTGCCCGAGCCGTAATGGAGATATTCAATTTTTTTATTGGCAAAATGACTTTTGCCCCACTCTGTATATTGTTTTTTCCCTATCTGGGAAAACGTAAAATTCTTTTGTTGAGGTCAATAGTGATACATAAAAAAGGATCTCTCTAGACATGTCTTTATAGATATAAACTTTGAACATGCCTCTATCATTGACTAAACTATCAGCTCGTTTGCTCGAGCCATAATGAAGATATTCAATTTTCTTTTTGGTCAATGAATTTCCAAACATCCTGTATATTAAATAATAAGAATAAGAATTGTTATCTTTCAAGGTTATTTCTTCAAACACATAATTGATGAGTAACATCACAATAGTGATCAGGTCGTTACGTGAAGAAGTAAAACATGATCCGTAGAAACATGATATACTGTAGCTTTTCTAGCGGCATATAATTTGTATGACTCGAAGAACATGAGATAATTTAGTATCAACATGATCAGGATAAGCAAAGCTATAATTTATAACAAGTTTCGAGGGAGTTGCATGACCAGATGGTCAAATCTCATAATTGGATTCATTAGAATTCACTCAATGCTACCAATAACAATTACATTCCTATCTCAATATTCTGATTCATCTCAGAGTTCTAATGAAATTTCTCATACACTTTTTGCTTCTTCCACATCATCTAGGCAGAAAAGTGAATATACATATATATATTTGATTTCTGAGGGTGTGGGTGTCGGTGTGAGGATTGCTCTGGATAAAGAGAAGAGTCACACCCAAACCCACACTCACACACTTTCGCACGTGACACAGTTTGTATAACGAATCGATCGATGAAAATCTTGCTGAAGTCCTCTTTTTGAGGGGTTTTCGAAACCTCAACGTCTGATAGTTTTGATGTATGATAATATCAAAGACATCATTTGATAGAGCAAGTCGAGCTGCACCAATATATCTAGATTTCAAAAGTGACACGGTCTCTTAACCGAATAGTTTCAAGGAAAACTATTTCATTTTGTTTTGCGCTGTGATGAAAAACAATACTTTTGCTTTGAGTTTTTTCTGTGGTAAATTTTCTTAAAATCTAAATATGCTATCTGATAGAACTGATCAAACCATATCTGACACACAAAATCTTACGGTTGGTACGGATGTGTGCGCGAATCACTCTCAGAAAAACTCGAATCAGACGCTAACTTCACTTTCATTTTTAGAAAGGGAAAAAAAGGTATATTTCTGCAGCTCGACAGAGGTAATGCTGGAAAAAGCTTTCCTACCTCAAGTTTCAGCCATTTGCAATGAAAATCAACTTTGGAAAAGCTGAAATATAACGCGTCTCAGGAGGGCTCTTTTGTTTAGATGATTAGCACATCAAACACGGTTCTGTTTACTGTGCTCCAATTTTTAGAGTATATTTTGAAGGATATGAACGGAACTAAATTTCTAAAAACCGTAGGCAACATTCTGTCATTTACAAATGAATATCCAAAAGGATCATTCAAATCAAGAGCAAGATGCAGAAAATTGATAAAAAACTGAATGCAGAAACAGAGATGCGACTAAAGATAATCTATATTTATAAAAGTACGTAATATTGACTGTCATAAAATTAATCAAAAAATTATTATTTCCATCTGCATTTTTTCTTCAAAGTTTGAAATGCATTTGTCGTCGTTTTCCCTGAATTGAGACCTAGTAAAAAAAAAAGAAGAGAAAATAAATAAATAGAAGAACAAGTCGTTAAACTTCAGATAGTATAAAATAGAGCTCTTTGCAAAGCAGGATAAGGCAAGTAAATTCAAGCTACTCTAAACAGATTTGGAAATTTTTGCGAATATTTTCTAGTTATTTTCAACAAAAATCAATAGACTAACTGAATGAAAGTTTTTACTAAGTAAAAAGTACATCTTTAATAACTGCAAGGCAATAGCACAAGACGCTGATTTATTCTTGATCAACTGTTTACCTTGATTTTCTACACTGAATGCTTGATATACGTCTCTTGCTTGATTTCCATTCAATGTTATCATCGTTTTACTGTGAGCTGAAATGAAAAACTTGTTGTTATTCTTGATATCATACTATAAAAATAGATAGAAAACAACACGATTCTTAGACGAGGAATTTATTGTCAACATTTTGCACACTATTCACTTTATCACGAAGTTTCTGTCTTGCTTCTTCATGTTCTTTTTTCCTTCTAGCTTGTCTTTCTTTCCGTTCTTTTTCCTTAACTGCTTGTCTCTTTTGATCAGCCTAGTAATACCAAAATAAGATTTGAAACATTTTAGAACGCAACATTTTTTAAAAGAAAAACTATTACACTTACAAGCAGATCTTTACTAGAAATGCCAATATCTTTCTTTTCTTCTTTGACAATATCACCAACGCCTAACTCTAAGAAATGACAGAAGTGTAATGATGATTATTACTTAGTGAATATCGTTCATACCTTTTATAACTTTATCAAATTCATTTCCAATAATTGTTTTCATAAAATGAGAAGACATTATTTTGACTCGTATTACTGACGCGCGCACACACACTCTTTAGTCGAAAAGTTTTACTTTATGTTTCTTTTTTAACCAAAAAAAAAACAAAATATAATAATGAAATATAATAATATCCACGCGGTGTTTTTTTTTCGTTCTTTCATCATACATATTCATTCAAGCGTATCTTTCTTTTTCTTTCGTTTCTTACATCTAGTGACACTAGTTTCACACAAATGTAAGAAGAAAGAACAAAATGGATGTTCTTGTATCATTTTTTACACGAATCGAATTTCTGTTTCTTTTTACCTCTATGTTGCTAGTGTTCTCTGCAGTAAAGAGTTTTTATATCTGGAAGCAACAGCAGTGACAATCTCGAAATGAATGATACATTGCAAGTTTCTCTGGGAAATTACATAAATACATAGAATGTCGCTAAGTCCTCATTTGCTTGGCCATTTTTTTTTCCTGTTTCTGATATTGTGAAAGTATGAAGTTACCACTAAGCTGATCTTATTTAGTATTGATAAGATTAAACTCTTATTCGAATCGATATGTAAGAATTCCATTTGAAAAATACGATTGAAATCCACTCACAGTGAGTTTATTAAATAATAACTGATTACGTTAGTTTAAATCAATTTTAATTGATTATTTAATTTGAGATTTCAAGATAAATTCATGTCGAAAGGAATATTTGTCAGATGTATAGAACACCCATATAACTGTAATAACTGCAGTATTCAGAAGAAATTAATTGAATCTTTTCACTTTATAATCAATGATTTTGATTTCATGCTTAAAGAATGATTAACAAGATAATAACCAATTTTGGCTAAAGATCCGATTGAAATCTAAATACTTGATTAGAATTGATTGCTAATCTGTCGATTCGATTGAAGAGCATTATACTTAGGTGTGTACTACAACCAAGACTAATACTCGTTTCAAAAAAGAAGGCAGATGAGTATTTTTTTTGCATAACTTTCGATAGAAATAAGGTAGAGATTTGTAGATTCACTCATTTACGACTTATAAACCAAATAAGTCACTTAAAACAGAAATAGCAATCAGAATCATCATTGAAAATCTCTTCATATGAGGAAATAGTAAGATTGCTAATGCTATCAAAATATTTATGCAAGAAATGAAAGGAATCAGCATGCTATGTTATTGTTCATTTTCTTTTTGATTTACTTGCAATGCTTCTGAGCTATTTTCAAATTATTCTTTTATATTTCCAATTGTATTAATACCTTTGCTCCATCTCTATTTCTTTCTAAATTATCCATTAGTTTGAATTATATTGCAGAGCCCTAAAAAGTGTTTTACTATATTAATAAATAAACACGAAACGCGTCGAAGAAATTTAATATCTGCATTAGTGTTTTGAATTATTTCAATATAAGCACAGCTTAATTTTAGCTACAGAAACATGTTTCGACTAAATAGTCGGTTGCTGAAAAGCAAAACTTGAGATTAGCAACTTGATTTGT